TGCAAGCCAGGAGCCTCTTCGCCGGAGGGCCTTCGCCGGAGGGCCTTTCGGGTGTCGCGTCCTGCCTCGAGTCTTAATGGAAGCGTCGCTTTGTGTCTGAAGAGTTATCGGCCCCTTCTTGGTGATTCACGGTGCTGGGGGGCTTGATGAGGTTTTTTGGGTTTTAGGAAACGCGGTTTCAGGGTTTGGGGGGGGGGGGGGGGTGTTGGCTTGCTGTCTTAGGTGTTAGAGTGCAGGGTTTTGGATGTCGCTGTGCCTGTGCTCTTGAACTGATCTGCTGGCTTCGGGTATGTTGGTGGCACGGACCCCGAAGCCCTCCAGTGAGCCTCGGTTTCGGATGTCACTCCTTGGATCCCCTTTCTGAAAGCAGGATCGTGTCGCTGCTGGATGCGGAGCTGGATGATGCGGCAGCAGGTTCGATGGCCGGCTGTTGACCTCTGACTGCTCATAGGCTTGAGTAGAATACTTAGGTATCGGTGGCTGTCGGTGCTGTAGCCTGTCGTGGCTGAGGCTGCAACGTATGTTGGCTGTCCCGAGCCGTAAAGCATGAACCCCAAGTCCTCACATCCAAGCTTTACAGGCCAGACTCTTGAAACCCGCATGGAGTCACTGAGCCGCAGCTATTATGCGTCCCAGTATGACCTCTGCTTCAGAAGGTTCATGGCGAGTTACAGGTAGGTCTTTGCGACCTCAGGGCTTTAGAGTATGAGGTTCAAGAGCTTAATGGATGCGTATGTGGCTACCGGGAGGGTGAGCAGTGCCTTACCAGATCTTACACATAGTGACATGACCCGGCGTACAACAATGAATCACAGGTTGCCAAAGTAGGCACGGATTTGGATGGTAAGATTTGATCTCCCAGCCCACACCCAACCCCCAAGAAAGGCTTCTCATGATTTTGGCGACCCTGAGATGGAGCGTGGCTCATGGTGAAGATGGGCGGGCTTGAGCAGGGCTGGATGCCGTTCGCTCGGGTGGCAAAGCGACAAGAAACGCCGATGCTCCGCCGGGAGGAAGCCTCCGACATGGGAAACACGCCAGGTGTCGTCTGAGCTTGTTCAGCGAAACCCGAAGCACTAAACTCTGCTTCTGGTGAGGCGCTTTTCTGTGCAATGCACATCAATAAACGGCTTCTGAACGCTAACTCCTAAAGTCATGGACCCCAGCCGCCGAAAGTCCCTTTGCCGAAGGTGGCGCGGTCCCGGCTCAAGCTCTGTGCTGGAACTCGGCGGAGGATTCCGGCCCGAGGCGCGACAGCATGGTTTGGTCCAGGGGACTTGGGCTTTGGTGCTCCTGCGGGCAGTATCAGTTGCTATGCAACCTCCATGAAGCCTTGCAAAACCCTGTGCTTGGGCACTAAACACAATGTCCTGGTCCAAGCCTCGCAAGGGCTCAGATGAGCCGTAACAAAAAACCAAGCCCCAAAACCGCCGGACAGAAGCTCCACAGCCCATCAAGTCCAGATTCGTAGCCTGAGCTCCAAAATCCAGGGTTTCAGCCGCCGGCCGTCCTTCTTCCTTGTCCGAACATGTTCCTTTTGCAGAGTTATAAGGATGGGACTTATAGCTCCAGTTTCAAGCACGGTGCCGGGCTACGTTTTGTAGAAGTGGTGATCCCAGGCGGCAAGGCAAAAGCCGAACCTCTAAAACCCTGAAGCCTGGTGCAAAGCGCCAGCAGCGCTGAAGCCCTAAGATCTGACAAACGCTTCAAGCCTAGACCCAAAACCCATGGGAAGGCTTCAAAGGACTGAACTCCTGGGGACCCGAAACCCTAAACCGCCAAAGCCCCGTTACACCCCGTTGCGCCCCTTGAGCTTTCCACAGGTCCAAGGCCCTGGGCTGGCCAAGGCGCAAAGAGCGGCCACGGATCGAGGCTTTCTGTTGCAGGGGGGGGGGAGGTAGGCGAGGGGGGGTTCCTCTTTTTTGAAGGATGGTTCGGCCAATGGGGGCTTGAGTCCTCCTGGGCGATTTGGATTTTACGTGTCAGTACTTTTGGGGTTGAGAGTTTGAGCTTCGAGGTGTTGGGGTTGCGGGATTTCAGGGATTTGGGGGAGGAGCAAATATGGCATGGTTCGGAAATCAGGGTCCAAAGCGTCTCTAGTTGCAGGAAGTTTCCATTTAGGAGTCGGGGTTTTTCTTGGCAGATGCAGGATGCTAGGGTCTATGGTTCATGTTTGGCAGTGAGGGTCCAGAGTCTAGAGCTCAGGATTTAGGCTTCGGCATCTAAGGTTTGAGGTCTAGAAGATGGGAACAAGCATATTTGGGCATACCTACCACCAGCCAGGTGGGACCTAAGTATCGAATCAGAGTTAAGGTTAAAAGCTCTTAGGGAAGGGCGCTTGAGCCATTTCCTGCGTGACAGTAAAAGCCGGGGGAGAAACACAGACCAAGGTAAGGACGTAGTAGAGTTTCTGAAACCCCGAATGGAAAAAATCAATCACCAACCCCAAAAGCCCCAAACCCAGAACCCCACAGCTGCCCCAGAAGTTTCCGCTCTGCTAGTGTTCCTTGGGATGTATGCGTGGTATCAGGGGTGGCTACGTCTCCGCGGCTTGGGATGGGGGGGGGGGCGATGGGGCTCACAGCAGGCTGTCAAGAACGAAGCCCCAAACACCCCAAAAAGCCCCAAACCCTTCAAAACCCCAACACTGTTCGGCCGGTTCCCGCGTCGCGTCCTTCCGCTCAGCTTTTGGCTCTGAGCCCTGCAGTCTGGCAGGGCCTCTCAAGAGCCCCCTGAGCCCCAAAGGCCCTCTGGAAGCCCGAATCTCTAAACTCAGCTCCAAACCCTTTCAGGGCATTTGGGCAGTATAGGGTTTGGAGTTGGGCCGAAAGGCACTTCGGCCCCGAGAAACTGGCGTGCAGAATGCTTCTCGCGGCCTCAACTCTTGGAAAGCTTAGCTGTGGGGATTGCTGCAAGTGGCTGTGAACGGCGTGGGGCTTGAAGTTTAGGCTAGATAGGCTTCAGGGTAGTGCTTGCCTTGTAGACTTGTCTTGCTTGGCTTCTGGCCTCCTTGTACATAGCCTTTGAGCTGCGAGCCTTTCGAGCCTTTAAGCTCCATGGGACAATGCCGGGGCCCCAGCGGGTGGCCGTGGGGCCTCATGTCCGGGGTCTTTGTGAAAGCTTGCGAAGGGAATCCTCTGAGTTCATGGGTTCTGCAGAGGGAGGCATAGATTAAACCAGAAATCTGTAGAGGTCCACTGTCCGAAACCCCGACCTGAACTCTGCGCCTGAACTTCCTCAGGCCCGAACCCGAAGCCCAAGAGACTTCAACAAGAAGTGGAATCAAGGTGCCGAGTGTCGAACACGCAAACTCAGGCTTTGATCTGGCGCTCAACCCAAAACGATCCCTGAACACGGAAGCCCCAACACCGTCCACATCTTCGGACTCAGAATTTGGTGTTCGGGGCTTGGGGTTGGGCGTTTGTCGGGTTCAGGTTTTCGGGTGCGGCTCAGGGCAAAGTTCGAACCACACTGCGCACTCTCGAGTGTCACGGATGTGAAGCAAGACCGCCGCATATGGGTTGAGGGGTTCAAGGGGGGTTGGACACTTAGCGTTGAGGCTCCGGAAGCCTGCCAGAAAGAAGCTTTCACGGACGTGCCTCCAAGCATTCGCAAGTCTTCCGAGTGGGGGTTGGTTGCATGTCTGGGGCGGCACCCTTCGTCTCCGATTTCTGAGGTTGCCCAGGCGTTGGGCCAGGCAGGAGCAGAGCTTCGTGTTTTTAGGCTCGGGTTTCATGCGAAGCTCCGGGACTAGCAGATGCAAGCAGGACATCATGCATGTTGCACGTGCGAATGCTGGTACGGTTGAGGGCTAGAGCGAGGGAGAGAGCGAGAGAAAGAGAGCGAGAGAGTGTGTGTGTGTGTGTGCGCATGCGATATACGCGACAGCCTCCCTGCCAAATTCACATGTGAACAGCCAGTTCCCCATCATCAGCATCATCACCGTCATCACAAACTTCTGAAATGACCTGAAGCCTTGAGTCGAAACGGCCGCGATGGCCCGTCTTCTTGCCAGGATCAGAGCAGGAATGTAGGGCGGTGGCAGCCGAAGCTGTCGAAGACTCTCGGTCCCCAAACCCAAAGCCTAACCTCTCAAACCCGAAAGCTTTACGTCGAATGGTTCCGAAGTGGCTTCAGCGGTGACAGGCCGTATCTACGAGGCACTCCGCCCTCGGCTCGGAAGCGCAGCCTACCACTTCTTGTAGAGTTTCGGGCTTTGGGGCTTTGTCTGGTCTTGGGGGTGCTTTCTCTTGTTTCGATACTGCCTGCTTAGGGGTGGAGGAGTTTGGGGTCTGCTTCATCTCGAAGGCAGTTGGCACAGTGCAGAGAGGTTTTTGCACCAGAGGCTCAGGCTCGGGGTCAAAGCAGATCCGGGGCAGAGGGCCTGGAGTGTAGGTCAGACTTTTCACGGTAGACTTCGAGGTGCCCACGGTGCGGACCTGCAGAATGTCAAAGTCTGAGGTGCCGGAAACGTGTTCGATAGCCCAAGGTCTCCAAATCCCCAAACTCCAAACCCTGAACGAACCCTAAAGTCCTAATTAGTCTACGCAAAGCCCCTCAATCAAACCCCCCGTCAAAACAAAATCCAAAGCCAAAACAAGACCTTTTGAGGCCAGGCCACCCTGGCGCGGGCGGCAGGTCCCATGGACCTGAGCCCCTTGGGCGAGAAGTCATAGCCGTAGCAAATTAAGGGGGGCCTTCCTGAGGCCGACTATAAGGCTCCGAAGGGCAACGATGAGTTTTATTTTTGTTTTGAGGGTCGTCGCTCTGTAGGGGCGACTCTAAGGGTTTTGCTGCGGAGGCCACTACAAGCTTTCAGGCTTACTCGACGGGGTCTTGAATAGTAGCAGCAGGGTTCGGGGCTTAGGGATTTGCGGGGTTTAGGGGTTTGCGGGTTTAGGTGAGGTTGAGGCACAGCGCTGAAGCCGATACAGGTTCTTCCGTTTTTGCGGTGTGAACTTCAGAAGAAGCCGCAGAAGCACAGCCTCGTCGCACCCGAGGCGTTTTGCGACTCAACTTCGACCCATCCAGGCCGGCGAAGGAAGAGGGTTGCGTAGGGTGATATGGGGCATTGTATAGTATACAAAAACTATGCTATACCGGTACTATCGGGTATTGTAGTATTGTAGGGTTTCTTGCATCCCGAATTTCTTGTCGAGGCACTTCCGGCGCGTCTACCGCCTGGGCGCCCTTCTCGGGGAGGGCAGCTTCGGCTCGGTGCCGGGGCCCCGAGCCTTTAGGGTTTGGAGTTTAGGGTTTATGAGGGTTCTAGAGTTTGGGGGAGGGGTTTAGGGCCACTCCACGGGGGCGCCTGGCCTTGGGGTTCCATTCGGGGACTCTGTAAGGGTTCTTTCCGGGCTCCACAGAAGGCTGGTGGGTGGGTTTGTGGTGTTTAGAAAGTGTTGTCTGGTTTTGCTTGGATATCTCCGGTGCTGTTGGCTGAGCACCTTGAAGGTTTATCAGGCGGTTCAGGCAAATTTTGGGCTTTACCCGAAACCCGAAAGACCCGCCCTTTATGCGCCCAGGTGCTCATGCACGCGCCGACTGACGGGTGAGGCCGGCAGCTCAAATGCGTGGTACGGAGTTGTCTACGTTTTCTTCTAATGGTCCGTCCACATCCGCAACATGGTATCACCCAAAGGCACCTTTCTAGGCATTCAGGCCCGTGTCTTCACCAGCCCGATCCCGAAACCCTAGAACAAAACTGTAAACCGGAAGCCCTGAACCCAGGAACGGGCTGTGAAGCAGCTTCTGAAGTCCCGGATGAAGGCACGTCCGTTGTTGGGGCTGTTCTCAGTGTCGCCCTCTCTTTCTCTCGGAGCCCGTCTACTAAAGTCATTTGATTTCAGGGTTTTTTCGAGGTGAGGATGTCTTTACGGCCACCATAAGAGTTGCTTTGAGGGTACTGTAGCGATTTCTTTACGGGTGCTAGTGCTAGAAGGGTTTAGCGCTCAGAGATTTGAATAAGTAGTTAATTAGTTATGGTTTCCTCTCAGAGTCCTCACGTAGATATACACCAACACCAAATTTCTTAAGTTTTCGCTAGAGCGGAGTAATTGACAAGAAATAAAAACACAACATTCGTAATCCTCGACGCCATAATGCTACACGAGCCAACTTCATCGCATTTTCGAAACCAGTTGTAACATTACGATAGTTTATGTCTAATTGGAGGAACCGGCTGCGATTAAGCACCCCTGGAATTGTTTTTGCAAGACGGAGCTCTATTCAAATCATTTTGGGCGCATGTTGCATGTGGTATAGGAGCCGTTACAAGATGCCCAAGCCCCTGAAACCGAAACCCTACATGCCAAACCTCAAACCCAACAACCCCCTACAGCCCAAGCCGTTACGCTGTACCAAATGCCCTAAGCCCTACAGATGAATACCCCCTCGGAGGACGGCGGCAACGATGTGCTGAACGAGCTGGAGATCCTCGCCACGCGCGGCCGCCCAGGGAGAGCTCGAAGATCGGAGGGCGTATAGGGCTTTTGATATGCGAAACATGTAGCGTATCTTTTGTTATGTTTTGTGTTTTTGTGTTTTTGTGTTTAAGGTTTAGGGCTTCAGGGTTGGGTGCTGGGGGGAAGCCACGTTGAACCCTCGGGTTCACAGCAGTTCTGGCGGTCGAAGGCGGGGAAGCTGAGACCACCAAAAAAAAACGAGGCCCTGAGAGCCCTAAGGCGCCTCACAGGCCATGGAAGCCCTGAGCCGTTAGGATGTCTGTGCGGGTCGAAGAGCCTAATTTGCTGAGGTTCAAGGGGTTCCAGGTTGGTGAGCTTGTGGGGAGGGACTGATCGCCAGGCTCGACCATCCCAACGTGCTGAAGTTCTACGAGTCGGAGTCTCGGACATGTCGTCGGAGGGAGGGTCTGGCTTTGGAACTTCGACTGGACGAACTTTAAAGGTTAAGGTTTCGGGCATGTGCATAGGGTTTTTAGGGGTTTGGGGGGGCTTCGGAGTCGACCTAACATGGGAATCCAAGTACTCAGATTTTATTGTAGGTTGCCTTATGTTCGTTCTAAGAGAATTTACGTCCCCGCCGAAACCGTGTTTTATTTGTCAAGGCTCCATTGAGTGCTACCATAGGGATGCCCGTCGTTTACTCTGGTGAAGCTTGAAGCCTTAAACCTCAACTGGTAGCGAGCATAAGCCCATGTGCGTAAGAGCTTCTTCAAGTCAATGTACTCTGTTCTCTCCCCAAGAGATATCTAGAATTGTGACTGCTCGCAGGTAGCATTGAATGCTATTCAACGAAAGTTAGAGGCCACCCAATCCGTCAAAACGTCTTCGTCAAAGCCTGACACATCGTTTGCGTAGACGGTGTAAAATGCCTTTCCAGCCGAACAGTTCCAAAGGCCAATCCAAACCTGTATTCGCTTCTTGTGAAAGATACCCCAGACCCTAACCCCTTGGAAGCCCGAGCCCCAATCGCATAGCTCCTTGAAATCGATGAGGTTCTTCGAAGATGACCTGGCCGTGCTCGCGGTGACGGAGCTTTGCGGAGAGGCCCATGTGCAGTTGGAGCTTCGGGAACGTAGGGTCTAGGCTTGTTGTTTGTGGAGATAAAAGGGGATTCTCTCAGATTCCGGTGGTTGCATTTCGAGGCGAAGCTATTTGCCCAGAACTCGTTCTGCTGTTCCTGGACGTCTCCGCGCATTTGTAGTCCCGCCACTGTACCGGCCAGATCCTACCCTCAACGCGAAACCTTGAACCCTGAACACTGAACTCTAACTTTCTCCGATATGCATCTTGTGGACTCCTATGGGCGGATGGAGAAAGTGCTCCAAGAAGGATTGCAACCCCGTTTCAACCCCCCCCCCCCACCACCCCCCTCTCCCCCAGTCCTGGGATGTTTGGGGCGCCAGGGTGACTTCTCGTCTCTGCTGCCGCGGGGCACCGTCGAGGAGAGCTTCCCCCAAACATCCAAACATCGCCCTGATTCCGATTCCCAAGGAACCTCGAAACTGAAGCCCTCAAAACCCTCAACGAATAGGATGAGTCTTCATCGTAGCGCAACAGGTATGATGGTGCTAACCCAAGACTCCCCGAGAATCCGTCCAAAGTGTTGAGCTTTCGGGGGTTTTCCGCGTATTCAGTCTCCTACAAATCCGCGCATCATGAAAGGCTCGTTACCTTGGTCACATGTTCACGAGGCCGTTTCGTTCCCTACAGTGCCCTACAGGTTGAGCTCCCCGACCCTGAACACTGATCCCCGAAGCCCTCGCGTGCTGAAGCTCCTACTGCCCGTAACCAGAAGACCCTGAACCCTTTCCTTCTACTAAATACAGGGGCCCAAGGGCACAAAGCGCCCTAAACCCTATAGCCTTAACCCCCCGGTACAAGCCTAAACCTAAAACCCTCGTCGAGCTCTGAGGAGGATGTGAGGCTCCTGCACCGAGCTTAGCCGGATGACGGTAGGTTTGTGTCCTAGCGGGACTTTTCCAGGTCTCTATCCGTATCCATTTCTTCCACATTCTAACGGAGTTTTTCATAAGTCTTTCCGATGGTTTTGCATAGGCAAACGTGCGGTGTTCTTGAGGTTTGGAGCTCGTGGAGCACCACGAAAAGCAGTTTTCTCTGCTCATCATCCACGTTTTGAACCTATGCCTATATGCGTTTACCATTCCATCCAGCTGTTTGAGGATGGACAGCCATGTTATGCGTACTTGCACACGAATCGAAGCACATCTCCAAAGTTCTCTTCCGACGATGTAAGTAGGGGAGGGTCTGTGGGGTACTTCTTGATCTTCGTGGTTCTCTCCAGTCCCAAGCGACATCACGCTGCAGGGCGCCTGGCCTTACTTGAAACCGAAGCCCTAAACCCCAAGCCCAAAGCCCAAATCCGGGACCCGAGGTACAGGGACGTGATGCTAGGCCTGGCTTACTGCCACTCCTTCGGCATCGTCCATCGAGATCTCAAGCTCGCGAACTGCGCCCGCCCCTGAGAGCCTCAAGCTTTTGCGTCCGGAGCTCCATGCGGTTTTTCACAGTTTGTTTATAGGGAAAGTCAAAACTCTCTGCGTGGGGTTGAGGGCTTTCGGGTTTCCAGATCTGGGGTTGCAGGGCACCGAAATCCTCGAGCATATCGGTCTGCTGCGTGGGGCACCTCAATCTTCGAGGTTTCTGACAGGTAGGGTTTCGGGAGTTTACGGGTGTATGAGGGGCTTTCAAGGGTTTAAGAGGGTTTAAGTATAAGTGGTTTTTGGAAGGGTTTAGGGTCTTGGAGTCAGGACGCAAACGGAAGCTCGTTGCATGGTGGTTTTGAAAGCTGGATGCTCCGTTTGAAGGGATGCTCCGGCGCAGGATGCTCTGTGTGAAATGCCGCCAACACCCTGAGCCCTAAACCCGTGGCTTTCTCAGCAAAGGGCCACTGGCGGAGAGGTTAAAGGCGCCCGAAGACGAACCCAGAGTCCCTAGTGTTGATGATATAAATCCTGCAGTGCCTTAAGGACCCTAAACTATGGGAATTATGGTATATTCCTTATTATGGGAACTATGGTATATTCCTTATGGTATATTCCTTATTATGGGTAATGCACGGATTTATACCCATCAGCCGTAGTGAGCCCGAGAGAGCCGAGGTGATCTCCCGAAGAGGTCCCAATGACCGGGCGGTCGCGAAGATCATCGACTTCGGCCTCGCGGTGCGGGCCTTTTTGGGAGGTCTAGGGTTCTGGAGTGCCTCTTTTTTTTTTTTCGGGCTTCGAGGGGGGTTTTAGGATTTGAGGGCTTTCAGGTTTTTGGGTTTCAGGGTTTTGGGGTTTTACATCCTAAGATTTCCGGATTTCCAGGCTAGAGTATTCAGGGCTTGATGCGGGTGGGTGCTTTCATTCTACAGTTAGATATCGGAAGAGATCTACGCATGATTCAAAAGCGGCTCAGGTTTTTCGTGGCTTTTGTCGGGGGCTTTGGGTGTTGGCTTGCGGCTCTAGGGTGTTCTGGGCTTTAGCCGCAACGTCGCCAGGGTGCCGGTCTGTTTGGTTTTGTCGATCATTTCAAGGCTATGCCTTGCCTGTTCTGTGCATTGTTTTTGAGGGTTCCAGATGCAGTGCTTTGCTGTAATATAAGAGTCTGAATAACCGGGAAACCGCTGCTGAGGGAACACTATTCCTTAGGGTTCTATGTTTTACCGGAAGGCCTGTTCTAGCCCTTTATTTATGGCCCTCATATTAGGTAGGATTGAGCTGCTGAAGGTTGGGGGCCCAGAGGACCTCCAACCGGACCGAGACTGCTGAGGTCTCTCTCATGCTGCTACAGAGCGTCTAGTCGCCGTCTTTTGGTTTTGAAGTGATCTCCAAACCAACCCACGGGTTTGACGAAACCGCATACTTGAACACCCTAAGCCCAAATTGAGCCCTAAACTTCCTAAACCCTCAACCCAAAGCCCGACTTCGACCTTCTCTACACCCGGACCATGTAAGAACGTTGGAATACCCTTCAAAAGAATCACAAACCTTTTTCACAACCGATAAGCCCCCTTTCAAAACTCATACAAACCCTGAAGCCCTACAGAGATCCTAAAACCCCGAATGATGACCAACCTTATTCCTTAGGGCTCCTCCTTCTGCTTCTTCTTCTTCTTGCTATTTTCTCGATGCTGTATTTGCGGAATTCCTACCGAAACCCCTAAACCCTAAACC